CCATAATTTTGGATAATCCATTCTGTGTATAATTACCATCTTTGAAAGACTGTTATGTGCAGTATAGGATGGTTAAGTTCCTATTCATAAGCAAGTCAAAACAAAAGAAGTGACAAATATCTGAAAAAGTAAAAATCATCAAACAAGAAGGAAACTGGAGAAAAATCAAGAAGACGCTATGAAGCCATTTCAACAATAAAGAGGCTGGCAAAGTATTCCTCTATTATAATGAATATATGGTCTGAAACAATATAAACACAAAACTAAAGAGCTGGGCCATAAAACTAAATCATGGTTAAATTAATTCAGAACAGGGACAGTACCTGTTAGCCTGTTGAGAAACCCAGTAACTCACATTATGTAAAGGAAACAGAACTACAGAAAATGGTTCAGCAACATTCCAGTAAGTCCTAGACAGGACACATTCACTCAAAAGTATTTGCTCTGTGCTTATTATAGGTGCACAAGCTGCCATGAAGTTGTTGGATGGTGCAAATGGTTTACGAACTGCTGTGTTAACTTACCCTATGGGCAGTTTATTGAATGACCCATGAAGCATCAAAAGAAGATGGAGGGAACACAGAGAGTACCAAAAAGAAGTGACATGGAAAAATTTCAGGATGTACCACATGAACAGGAGCCAATGAATGAGTTAGCTGAAGATGCATTGAAAGCACTGGCAAAAAATAAGGTCGCAGGAATCAATGGGATACCAATTGACTTGTTTCAATTAACAGATGAAGTCCTCGATGTGCTCACCAGTCTATGCCACGATATTTGGAGGACAGCAATCTGGCCATCGGAAGGCGTCCTTATTTTATTCCCATTGCCAAGAAAGGTGATCCAATAGAATGTGGAAACTATTGAAATATTATTATCACATGCAAGCAAAGTACTGAAGATCACTCTAAAACATCTTGAAAAGTATATAGATAGGTGACTACCAGAAGTTCAAGCAGGACTTAGAAGAGGCTGAGGCAACAGGGCTATCACTGTTGATGTCAGATGGATCTTTGCTGAAAGTAAGGAATACCAGAAGAAGATCTAATTGACTATGCAAAGGCATTTAACTGTGTGAATCATGACAAGTTATGGCTAACGTTAAGAATGAGAATCACAAAGCACTTAACTGTGTTCATGCAAAACCTATACCTAGACCAAGAGTGTTGACTATGGAGCCAAGGAAGCTGAAGCTGTTCACAATTTCAATCTCTACCATCTCTTATGATGCTGCCAATTGGCCCAGCAGTGAGAACCTTTGTTTCTTGAAGTTGAGCTTCAATCCATATTGAAGGCTGCAGACCTTGACCTTCTGCAGTAAATACCTCAGGCCCTCCTCAGTTTCAGCAAATAAGGTTGTATCATCTCCATAATGCTGAATGTTGATAAGTCTTTGTCCAATCCTGATGCCACATTCCTGCTCATAGAGCTCAGCCTCTCTGATGATCTGTTCTGCATATAAATTGAAAATGTATGGAGATAGGATGCATTCCTTACATACACCTGTCCTGATTTTGAACCATGCAGTTTGTCCTTGCTCTGTTCTGGTGACTGCCTCTTGTATAGGTTTCACACAAGCACAATCAAATGTTCCGGGATTCCCATTCTTCACAGAGTTAGCTACATTTTGTTGTGATCCACACAGTCAAATGTCTTTGCATAGTCAATGAAACACAGACAGTCCTCTAGTACTCTCTGCTTTTAGCAAGATCCATCTAATATTGGCTTAAAAATTCCCTACTGTTTCTTCTAAACCCAGTCTGTAAATCAGGCAATCCTCTGTTGATGTGCTTTTTCAGTTTTTGGGCAATTTTCAGCAGGATCTTACGTGCATGTGATAATGGCAAGAATATGGTCAAGGAGATTTACCTTCTCTGCTATATTTTAATTTTTTAATAATATCTAGTTGTTTTGTGCCACTGAGTTGGAATCAATTGAAAGCTGACTCTGCAGTAGGTTTTCCAGAGGCAGTAAATTACATGTGGGGGGGGGGTGGAGTGTGTGTGGGGGGAGAGGTCTGCTCCTCTTTCTCCCACGGAGTAGCTGGTATTTGAACTGCATACTTTCAGGTTGGTAGTGCAATTCCTTACTACTAGGCTACCAGAGCCCACCACCCCCCAAAGCACTCATTTACTTTTTTCCATTCAAAGGTTAATGCAAACTCAAGGTGAATTAATAAATAGGCCTTCAAACTGAGTAAGCAGTATTCACTAACTAATGATCTGTTTTTTTAAAAAAGCAGTAGGGGCAGCAGAAAAACAAGTAGCAAATTTAATGTTAACCTGTTAAATTTAAGAGTCCCTTAAACACACATCCTTATGGAAATTTATATACATTAATGGACAAGATACTCTGTTTTATCCTGGGCTTGAGGTATGACTATTTTATGTCAATCATTGTTAAGTTTGGCATTTCATGTGGGGCAGGTCTTGTGCTAAATGTGTAACATGCATTATTTCTTAAAGCATTTATACAGTGAGAATTAAATGAAAAACTGTAGGTGTACTTTATCCAGTATCTGGTAAGAAACAATTAAAGCTGTCCTTTATCAGGTATTTCTACTGCCCAATCTCCAACTATCACCTGTCATAATTAATTAAAAAAAAATGACCAAAACCTCTTTGATGTGACAATCCTCACTGGATTTCTGTACTGAATTAAGCTCATATTCCCTTCATCTGACACACACATATGGAAACCATCCTATCTCTCTGGACTCTCTCATTCAGGCACACTGGGATTACAATTTGAAAACTTATTACCTACTCTCATTGCCACAGCAAAGAAATACTCCAGCCACACTTTTTTCATCTTCCTACCCTTCAAGGTTCAATAAAATATAACCACATTCACAAAGGTGATTCTCTATAGAATTTTCAAGGACACTGTTTGCACCTCTATTTTGGCATTTTATCATTTGTTAGTTCGCTGAAGGAAAGGTTTTGTTTATCTGCATATCTACTGTGTCTAAATTACTAAGAGCATCAATGGTAATAGTAAAATTTTAAATAAATATACAATTAACGTTTTAATGTCTCCCTTAATTCATGTAAGTATACAAAAATATTGTAACAATTCTACTAGCAGTTTCCTTTTCCAATCCTAAATAAACACACAGAGACAATTCTTTCAATTACATAATGCTGGGAATAATCAGTGGCCAGTGTTAGCTAGATTAAAATGGTATGATTAACCTAGGAGAATACAGTGAAAGAGGTAGATACCCATTTAAGTAATAGGCTCATCTTATAAATTCATAATGAGAATATAAATCCCTCTACTTAATTTTGGGTAATTAGTAACCTATCTGAATTGAACTTTTATTTTTTAAAATTTTAGTTGATAATTTAACGGAAGTTTATAGAGGACCTGGCTTTCCATTTACTCATTGCTGCACATTTTCCTCCCTACCCACCCCCCTAGTTCACTTTTTTCTTTGAAAAAAAATTTTTTCATTGTTTCACAATCCCCTCCCCCAACCCCACTCCAGTCCACTCTGCTATGCACCTCTTATTCTGGACTGTTGTCATGCAAATAATACCTGCTCCTATATTCCTTTTAAACAGCTCTCTCCCTTATCTGTCTCAATGCTACATACATTATTTATCCCCTCTTCTTAGTTTCTCAGTATTTGCCCTTTTGTGACTGAGATAGTTCACTCAGTATAATGTCCTCCAGGGATACCCATTTTGTATATTTTGAGTTCCTTGTTTTTCAGTGCTGCATAGTATTCCATTGTGTGAATGTATCACAGCTTCTCTATCCATTTGTTTGTTGACGGGCACTTTAGTTTTTCCATCTTTTTGCTATTGTGAACAACCCAGCAATAAACATAGGTGTGCGTGAATTGAACTTTTAACATAAAAAGATGCATATGGCTGTTTAATACATTACCTTTTTAAATACTGTGTCTAAAACTATACAAATGGGGTTTTTACAAAGTCCTTAAAAGTTAGCTGACCTCATCTCCAATCATTTATGAGCCGTTTTCTTTTAGTGAAAAGCAAGGGAATTAGGAAATCTCTACTCAGTTTTACTTTATAGTCCAAGTGAACTTCAATCACTTCAGACTTTCTTGTCTGGCTTATTTTGGGCAATAAGTTATCAAACTACAGACAGAATGCTATAATAGAATTCAATTCTTTGAATACAGTAACTTTTTACATAAAGCCCGAGTTCAGCTCAGCTCATTACTTCCATGTGGGAACTGACTCATAGCTAGTGACCCTTCAGTAAGTTTTCGGACACTGTCAACTGCATGGCTAAACAATGTCCCTCTTTCTCCCATGGAGCAGCTGGTATATTCAAACCTTTGGGTTGCTGGTGCAACTCCTTACCCACTCGGCTACCACAGCTTCCTACAAAGGCATTTAAATTACAATAATAGTTAATAAGAGTTTTGGGAAGGAGAACTAATTTCCTATGTTGTTTAGATTATATATGGACATCTTTTATTAAAAATTCATTTTAATGAATGTTCACAAAGACTGAGGGTTTCTAGTCATTCATTGTTGCACTCTTCTCCCTGCCCCCCCCCAATTCACTTTTCTCCTTGATAAATAAAAGAAAGACTCTTTCATTGCTATGCGATCCCTCCCCCCAAGTCCACTGCACCATGCAGTCTTCATTCTGGACTCCTGACATGACAATAATACCTAATATATATGGACATCTTAAAGAAAGAGTTTTGTTGCTGTAATGCTGACTTTTCAGTAGAGACCACAGTTCTTTTAGCACTATTTACAAGGCTTAACTCAAACTAGCACTTAAAACTTTTTCCCCAAGCTGTTCTGCATTAGTTTGCTGCTACTCAGTAAATAAGTTAAGTCAGAAATACTCAGGCAAAAGATATGTTAAAGTCAATACCAGTAGCATGTTACCTAGATGTTAGGGCTGTTATTATATCTTAAAGCAAGATGACCACAAAAGTTTTGAAAATAAAGTTTTGATTATTACAGTTACAGAGGCTAAGCTTGACTGGTGCCAGGGACTTAGCATACCTGGAAATAGAAAAATTCAAATTGTAGCTGTTCTTGATTGGCTCATTGCCATTTTTTGTAGCTTACAAATTTTTAATTAAGTAACTGCAGTGAGCTCATCTCTACTGGATACTTCTTTTCCAGGGCAGGTCCAGGAACTGGAACTGGAGCCTTGAAAGCAGAAGAGAAACTAGAGTAAACTAGAGGTAAGGAAGAACAAGAAACTTGACTCAATGACATTACGAGACCTAAAATAGTGAAGTAATACCCAATGCCTTCAGATAAAATATTCTAGAGTGGGGAAAAGAGCTCAGGTTACTATAAGATGCCATTTTAATTTTGTTAATGAAGTCATTCTCTTAATCTACCCAATTTTATTCTGGACTCCCAATTCTAGAAATTCAAACAGTAACTTTCACAAAGTCTCGTATGACCACCAACAACAGACCACTGAACATGGACACAGAGTAATTACTACAGGAAAAGGAAAAAACAACATCCAGGTTTACTGGTAACTGAAACTATCAACTCATCCCTGCCAGGCCATGTTATACTTGTCCTTCACCCAAAGATATGCTTTAAATACATCCAAGTGATAGGTTGAATTTCAAGTTCCAATTTTAAAAAATACTTTAATTCTTAGAGAGGGAGGCAAAGAGCATTCATAAATTGTGGTTCTTAACCACACTAGAAATTCTTTTTCCATTACCAAAATAGATCCAATTATGGTTTGGTGTTTTTTTTTTTTTAAGTTCCAACGAAACACACTTGCAATACAAAGGTTAGAGAATGGCATATAAGATCTTGAAATGAAGCCTGTTATACTAATTAGATTACTAGACCTGGAAATTACTCTATGGAGCAAGAAGAAATTGGCCTTAAAAGCTTCCTTAAGAAACTAATTCAGAGCACAAAGAATTCTTCTTTGTGGTAGCAAAACGATGGTAGATCATGTAAGCATTATAATAGAACAAACATACACAAAATACTAAAAACAACAATTCAAAGGATTTTATCCCTCAAAAGTCTATTAACAAGCAACACAAAAAAGCAAAATAAAGTAAAAGAAGCTTTAAAAAAATATTTATTTCCACCTATTGCTGATGGAAAGGGGCAAGCAAAGAACAAAAAGAGACAGAACTAGGTTTACATTCGATCTTAGTTTGGCCTTGAATTCAAACTGCAGAAATTTCCCATCTATAAAATGAGATTTCTCTACAAGCTAATGCACAGAAAGTTCTTAAGAACCTAGTACATAGCGGCTGTTGTTATGTACCATCAAGTCAGAACAGACCCACAGCTGACACTCTGGTGAGTTCTGTGAAGCAGTAAATTGCATGGGAGGAGACTGCCCATCTTTCTCCCACAGAGCACTTGGTGGGTTTGAACAGGGTTCTGGATTGGCAGTGCAACTACTTACCACTATGCCACCAGAGTTACCCAGATGTAGTAGGCATTCAATATTTTTCTGTATTACCAAAGAATGAAACAGTGCTCCTTTCTAAATCTACAGCAATACTTATGTTGCTAAATATTTTTCATATAAGCAAAAGCCACAACTGGATTCAGGTTTAAATAACTGTACCATATCCTAAGAGACAGAATTAATTTATCAACATTGGCTTTAGAATCTCTAAAAAGCAAATATGAGAAGGCTCAATTATAATAGCAGGTGATAAATGAAAATAAATGTACATTTAGCAAAGAAAAACTGGTAAACAGGACATGTAATTCTTCTCTCTTAAGTCAAGTGGAATATACTGTTAGCACCCACTGTTAACAGGTTATACACATCAAATAAAGTATTTAAAAATACAAGAGCATTCAATATATCATATAACTTTAAGTCAGGAATATCTTTTGGACAATTGATAATAAGAGGAACTAAAACAGTTCTATCCTTTGTGATAAAAGTGAGTTCTACACAAATCATTCACCAAATATGGACAAAAGATCAGATTAAACCTTCCTTGATAGTGTAAGTGTCAAAACCCACAAAAAATGAAAGAAAAAAAATCCTTAAAGCTACTCCAAATATTAGTTCACCACTATAACTTTATTTCAAAAATTATTTTAAAAAGTGAACATGGAATATGTCTTAATAAAAATGTATTTAAATTTACTTATAGATTATAAGATTGAATTACATTAGTAGAGGTGCCAGAAAGCAAAAAAGTTTCTAGTCACTAATCCATTTGGCTAGGCTTGTCAGTTTAAAGATATCAAAACCCCTTAGGTATGTCATTAGTTTTTATTATATAACTAACCATCTTCTCTTAATCTCATTAATCATACTAATTTTTCAGTTGATTCTCTTAGGTTTTCCAGATGTACCAATACCATGTACCGACTGATTCTCTCTCTCTCTCTTTTTGAAGGGGTCCTAACTGGATTGGCCAACATTCCCAAGACAATACTACTCACAATAATGCTGGACCAGCTCTTTTTAGATTCTTGACTTTTTACAGAAACTCAGTATTTTACAAACTACTAAAATAGAAATGTCTTATATTACCACTTCTAGCAACAAAATGCTGGCTTTAGATGGGCAATCTCCTCTCATGTGACTTAGAGCCTCTGAAAATCCTGCTGCAAAGTCAGATACAAGTTAGTTCCAACTTGAAGGCAATTTGTGAGTTGGGTCAAAAAAACAGAAAAACCACCACTGAGAGGGTCCCCCTCACAGTGACCCTCCAGCAGGTTTCCAGGGCTACAAAGGACAATGAAAGGGGCCTGCCCAGACTTCTCGTGAGGAGTTGGTGATGGATTCCAACTGCCAGAAAGCCTCTGGGTTAGCAACACAACGTGCTGCAGTCTACAGCACTTAAGTATGTAATTTATTGTTATCTTACTAAGGATTAGTATTAGACACAAACATTGATTTCCACCCTCAACCTAAAGGAATCTCTCAAGATACTAAGACGTCACTACCACCTACAACAGGAAATTATATTCCATGGACGAATCCTCCTTGGATTCACTATTACTGGTTTATATAACGCTAGATCCAACTTGTTAATTTTATGAAGCGCTTTTGGGGGTGGGCACCAACTGTAGTGAAACTATGGATTTTCATTTTTTATCATGTAATGTTGACTCTACAAGCACAAGTGGAGAGAATAATCTGTTTTTCCTTATTGTCTAAAACTTGTGATTTAAGTTTAAAAATATTAGTGGTAAATGGATGTGGTCTTTTATTTGAAGAACAATCTTATTTGTAGGATTAGCATTCTCTATCTATCTATCTATCTAAAGTTTAAAAATATTAGTGGTAAATGGATGTGGTCTTTTATTTGAAGAACAATCTTATTTGTAGGATTAGCATTCTCATTGGTGGTTCCTGACTCTAGTCCCTTTCTCTTTTCTTATTTCCTTGGAAGAAAGTATCTTTCTTTTTAAACTTTCTCTGTAAAGTCTTACCTTAACCACATCCATGTACACACTTGTATCGCAAAATTCTCCTTACCAATTTAATCATATAATCACTCCACAAATATGTGTTCACAAAAAATCAAGAGTAACATTTATGTAAGCACTAAAGAAATAAAAAGAATGGCATGCAGTTCTTCTTCTCTCCCCACTTCCCATCTAGTGGAAACAAAAAGGTACAGCAGCAATGAACCAAATATACTATGTTAGGCCATCTCTTATCATTCCTGCGCTGCCAGACAAGCTTCTACTGAGTAATAGTTATGCTCTGCCTCCGATTTTCTTTTATTCTTTCTTTCAAGGTATTCTTCAGAGAACGCTGTTGAGTACTGTTGGGTTGGTATCACCCACAGCTGACCCTTTAGCAGGTTTTCAGAGGCAGTAAATCACAGGGAGGAGACTGCCCATCCTTCTCCCTTGCAGCAGCTCCTAGATTTCAACCTCATAAGATTTTGAGATTGCAGTGCAGCTTCTTACCATGAGGCCACCAGGGCTTCCTTCTTATTTAATGGAAAAAAAAATTATTTAAAAAATTTATTATTTTTATTGTGTATATTTTTCTTTAAAAAAATTCCTTAAAGGATGTTTATCTAAATTACTAAATCCTATAACCACCTTCGATTCCTCATTCACATCTTTTCAATAACTCAAGTTCAAAAAATCTTTCCAGTTTTTTTCATTTGATATTCATGGGGGAACCTCCATCCATCAAGGAAAACTATACAGTCATTACTGCCATTTGCAAGGTCATCTAGTCAAGTCATTACTAATTATGAAAACTCCAGTAAGCAGTAGATTAAGCACCAGAAGTCAGTCACACACTCAGGTTCAAGGAAGTCATGTATTCCTGCCTTTTTAATTCCTAGTGCGGGCTCCTTTCCTCTGCACTATACTACCAAGGATACACAATGTACAGCAATGGCCCTGTGGATCCTTCTACTCCTGGACTCCTTTCCTGATCAATGCCTTTTCTGGCATTCTTCTAGTTTTCCTAGCTTCCTAAGTTTCTTCTTCACATCTGTCAAGTGCAAGTACAAAGTTATGGCATTCATTCTTTCACTTACTCCTCTGGCATCTCATTTCCATCTACAGAATAATTAAGCATAATTAATAGTTATACTGTAATTTAAACTTTTGGTTCTACAAATGAAACGTGAACACTCAAAATTACAGAATTTGATGATGAGAGAAATGTACATATCTAGTTTAACACTCACATTTAATAAAAATTTAAAAGTTCAAATCCATTGCTATCAATGCTGCCACAAACATTACTACTACTAAACGTATTTACATATTACAAATAAGGTTTACAACATATAAGTATATCCCATGAGGCCCCCTTGGCTGCTGTCACCGTTCAGGACGTGGAATGGCTGAGGCGTCCTGGTCTTTGGTGTGTTTTCAGGTCTCAGGTATGACACATAGAGAATCAGTCGTCATCTGGGGTCCTAGGACAGTCATCTTGATCACAGATTCATCACAAGGAAGGAGTCCATTACTCTGGCTGGCGTAAATCTCAACTTGAATTACTAGGTCACCTGACATCTTAATGATGGAGAACAGTTATTCAGGGGCTAAATAATGATCCAATTCCTGAAGAGTAACATTTAATACTCCATGTAAAGAGAAATCTCCAGATAACATGGTTATAAAGATCAACACAAAAAACCACAAGAGACATGTAAGAAAGCCTACAATAGACAACATCTGTAAAAGTGATTAAGACAATCAGAGGGAAG